AATAAATAAGGAATTAAGAAGATATCGACTATCAAGAGTTATCAGAGGAGAGTGTGATTACGCTATACATACAGCTGTTTCGAGAAACATTGTCGGAAAAAAGCGCACGCGACAATCCCGAAAGGTAATCTGGGATATGATCAGCAAGGAACGTTCCTGACACTGTAGCTGTCGAACCTAGCTACTTTTGTTGCTTTCTTTTAGCACTCGCAAACATACTTCCATGGCGTCTCGTGTCATTTTCTCAGATTTCCCTGAAATGCTAAAGTCAATGAACCGTGAACTTAAAATTACCCACAATACCTTTCGAGATTGTCGCGTGCGCTTTTTCCGACAACCTTTCTCGAAACAGCTGTATACAAGGTAATGTTACTCGAAATTAGTCGATTAAGCCGGTGTCGGTATCGAGGCTAGTGTCTTGCAGTATAATGATTGGCCCAAAAACTTATCGGCAACTTACACGAGGATGCAAAAAGTTACAAATTCGGATACAGATTTGACAGTTATATAATGAGCCTTAAAGTTCTAAGTAAACAAGAAGCAAATTATCAAACTTCTTCCTGTTTCATCTTGCCATCCTCCCCTCCCCTCTCCCTCACAAATGCAAATACAATTCATTTCGTAGTCGTGTTTAATGTTTAATTACCATAAAAGGCAGCATAAAGTCCTCGGTATCTTCACTGTAATTCGGAGATAAAAGAAATACAAAGTCATGCATAGTTGATTTTGACAAAAATAACATTAATACCGAAAATGTTTTTTTGGATTTTGTTCATTAGGGTAAAGCTAACCTTTCTTCCTCATCCAGCCCTGAAGAATGCCGCCCACCTTGTGCCATGTCGCACTTGAAACTGAAAGTTAAGAAAGATATCTGACCTGTCAGTTAAAGTGTAGTCAGTTTATCGATCTACGTATAAGTAAATTACTATAGTGTTTCTCAGACATTCTTCTTCCGGGTTCTTCTTGACTTCAAGCCTTCGCGGCGAACGAAGAATTATGCAGGACATGGTCCAGGCCTATCCAGGACAGGCAGGTTTTGCCACAGCGGTTGCAGGGAAAGGTTTGCATGGTTGCTGGCAGGTTCTTTCGACTTCTCCTCTTCTCCTCAGCAGTGGCTCCCTCTCCAGTCCTTCTTAAAGTAGGAGGCTGCCTGGCTGACTAGCCATCTCCAAGCCGGCATCTGCACGCTCTGCAGCTTTGGCTTCCCGATGGCGATGCTCCGCAATCATGGACAATACTCAGCAATACAACAATCACTAATTGCAACTGCCAATTTGTATGAAAGGATACATGCCAATTTTCACGTATAAAAATGTAGAGAGTTGCTTCTACGAAAATTGCATCGAGTAACGCTACATACGAAATTATATATAAAGCAGAAAGGTACATGGAAGGTCGGTATATGATATCCAAGGCCTTTGCAACGTTGAATCATCAGGGGGATATGTTCTTGCCCGTAAATTTCATGACACTACAATTTATTACATGTAAAAGAACAACTTTCTGAGGTTAACACTGTTAACACCAGGCAGTAAAAGTTCCATTCCCAGTGTTGAAAACATATGCACTCTTAGTGTACTCACATTCAGTACACAACTTGCACTCGCTATATCGGTGTCTTCACAGTTGTGGCCGTTATTGTTACATGTCCCTTAGATGAACGTCAGGTCGCACCGCAAACGATCTAGAGATATACAAGCATAATTAAACACTTAGTTATAATATCTACCGGTGTAAATCCGAGTTAAAAGTAGCTAAAGAGTGTGAAATTTACACTTGAAAGGACGGTCTGTGTTCTTAACTCCCTTGATTTTCAGTATGCACTAAGTGGCGTAGTCGTCAGTAGCTGTCGCCAAGTCTTACCATAAGGGCAATCTTTAATCATAGTTCTTTGATTTGTAGTTCATAATTGTTTGATTTCATTTGTTAATTATAGTTTTTGGATTTAATCATAACATGCCGTTGCAGAAACGAGCTAAAAAATGAAGTTTTGAAGCACCTCAGGCCAGTGAAAATGAACTTCAACGTTTTCTTCAATTCAGTTATCAATGCCTTTCTGCCGTGAAATACTGGTCGTTCAATAAATAAATATTAGTGCAATTGCGAGAACTGACTCGGACTGCCATCGTATCCTTGCTGTCAGTGCCTTTCAAATATGATCTATATAATACAAAATAAAAACCATTTCCACTCCAGGAGATTATTTTGAATATAATTTGTACCTTGTATTAATTGGAATAGACGAACCAAATGTCTATTATTCTGTGAACGTCAGTTCTTGGACTAAAGCTTCTGATAATGAATTTTAAAAGCCAGTTCTGAGGCTCTGCAACTTGACGCAATTTTGGTGGTCGAGACTAAAACTCATTGTACACTGACTAACTGAACGGAACTTGTATTATTAGGTTCTAAGTGAATTTGCCTGCCAGGGCTCAAGTGATTTTGATACATAATGCAACCTCAATTATCGACCTTAATCTTATCACGAGAGTTGAAGGTGACATACATGGCCAGACATGCATATAATAACCACGTAAAAAGCTCGTTAAACGGCCGAAAATTTACCTGATATTTCAGTTTTACCTTTCTGTCGCCATTTCATAAAAATATAAAGCATGCGCAGAGAAATTCATTCGAGATACAAAGACAAATATATGGCAGGTGGCAGACTGGGTACAAATGATTTCTTATTTTCATGGATAATTTCTCTAGAGGAGTCTTATGATTTAAATGCTAGAACCCTCTCATTCGCAGTTTGTAATTGCTATTTAAGTTATTCGTTCATATAGAAATGTGTGTACAGTACTGAAATGTCAGAAGCCTGCAGAATCTGTATAAGGATTTCGATGTAATTCTGACTCTAAATGCAGACACTAATGCAGACAATATGTAGCCTAGTCGCGATCGTGCATAATGTTTTTGAAATATCGAACAGGTTTCCCTGGAACTCATAACACATTTTCACGAAGCTTTTAACTTGTCAGTATTTGCATATGAAATAACACAGTTTTTGTCGCAATACAATAGAAAGTTTTGTATTTTTGAAAACATTTACTGGTAGTATGTGATAAGTATATGGCAAGTCCACATGAGAGTAAATGCATTGCAAACGAGCGCCGTTGAGTTGATACTTGCAATTTCGTAATTCAAGCAACATAAATACACTGTACATCTCGACATTTCTCAATCGATCGAACGTACTGACATTCATGGACAATGGCGGGCGAAATAACCCAGTCATAATAATACTAAACTCGAATATATTATGGGTCTGTGATTATTGAGATTTACTTACCTTTAACAAAGACTTCACTTCTCACGATTATCCAGACTTAAGCTAGAGGTACAAACATTAAAGAGTGACTTGTCTTAATGAAATAATCACATTGAGAAAATGATGTATATTCATAATATTTTGTTTTCTTAGAAAAAAATGTATTTCCGGCTGCTATTCTAGGAAACTGCCTCTTGACCCCATTGGTTAGCACGTCGCAGCATGTTATATGCATCTATTAACAATGGCATGTTTCCAACATTACCAGATAATATATGTATAATTTTATCCAAATTACATATATGTTGAAAGGTCTTCGAAAAGTATTACATTGTAAAATATTTTTCAAGTTAGGCAATGCTCCTCTAGATATATATTCACCTCCGAGGCAACAGTTGTGTTTCTAAATATGTTGTGTCAAATTCGGTGCACTGAGACTAGTTCTACAGCCATCGGTGTTTATGCAGGGTTCAATTCCTACTGTTACCACCCCCCCGGGCAACCCCTGGGACAAAGTCAGCCCTTGTGGCCCGGGGGTGGGGAATTTTGCAAGTTAGTCTTGTCCCGTGGGTAGGGAGTGGGGATAGTTGAAGTATCTAGTCGGGCAAGGAATTATGGGACGAAATTGGCGAGCGGACTTCTTTGCTGGGGAATCCCTTCAATTTGTATGCGACTGGTTGGAGGAAAGCAATTTTTTCAAGTTTATAAAACCTGTATTTGAAAAAACTCCGCAACAGAGGAGCGTTAAAAGCCAAAGAAACGCGGGCGAGAAACAAAAACAATGGGAGAGATGTTTCCTGACCTTTGGAGCCATACGAGTCCACGTCTATTTTGTAAAACGTTATAAATATTTCTGTATTCTTGTGAAAAGGTGCAGTTTGTGTCCCTGGGGTGGGGAATTCCTTCTATCTTGGTGCCCGGGGGAGGAATAGGACACCAAGTGAAGAAAAAATGACAAATGCCCGGGAATTGAATCCTGCATTATAGCCTGACCCGTCACAGTGAACAGAAGTGACGTTTTTATCAGTTCAGTGATGAACCACAGCTGGCAGGGTGAGAAGAAAGGATGAAGCATCGCGGCACAATACTCTATGGCCTGTGCAGCAGGAGGCACAAGAGGAATAAAGAATAGAGCGCGAGGAGCCCGAGCATTGCTGGCCGCCAGTTTGATGGAAGACTATGACGTCATTGCGGATGAAAGTACGTGAAGTTAGATGCCCCTAATGCGTATTCCCGCTTAATAATGTACGGAGCTATTCCGAAATCTACTTCCGCAGATTCCTTATTGAAATAGCCGACAACGCAGTGACGTCACAAATTCCCATTAAACATTTCGAAAGAAAACATGGCGGCGAGCGGGAATTTAAACTGAAAATTTAACCGAACGCTTCACATTCACTTCCATTTACGGAGATATCGACTTAACCCAATGGTCATTTAAAGAGAACTATAAAGTATACTTTGGCCACAAAACTGTTTTTCAGCCCAGATTACTCAGATTCTCTTAAAGTAAAGTTAACAACTCAAAAGTGGGCCACGGGTTCGACTCCCGGCGGGGACCTCAGATGTTTTCTTTGTTTCACGCTCGTGACAAACTGAGTTAACAACTTTCCCATGTCATTTACCGAGCTTAACATTTACCATATTTATTTCTTTTTTACCACACATGACGCTTTCGACATTGCTGATCCAGGGGGGGGGGGGGGGGGGGGGGGGGGGGGGGGTTGTCACTGTAGCTCAGTGGTTAGAGCATCCGACCAGTGTGCGGAAGGTCATGGATTCGATTTCTTTGTCTCGTGACAAACTGAGAAACTAACATATTTTTCAACTAAAAAATACTATCAATTTTGATGGAGTTGAGTTCTATGAAAATATGCAGTTAACCAGCGTGACAGTTTTGCTTTCTGTAAAATAACATTTTATTTATTGCTCAATGCTTCTATACTAATTCTAAAGTGTATAAATGATAACTCGTTAACCTTGTATAGGCGCTCTACTTTAAACTTCTCTAATTAAAAACCCCAAACGACACTTACATTAATTGGTTGTGCAGTCGGCTATGTAACATGGTTATGAAGTATCATTGCATGTTGTTGTCTTATTTTAAGAAAGAACGCGTCTTGTTTACATATCCTGATGCAAACACTCTAGAATGTACTTATCGCCTACGTATCCTCGCCTGCTGCTCGGGTTTACATAAACTTTATTTTCTCCCAAACTATCTCGAGTGTTTGAATCAGGCTATGTAAAAACGCGCGCGATTTTCTATTTCTTAAGTTGCGGTTGGCCAGATGTGATTTACATGTATAAAAAGCCACTCTAACTAAAATTGAGTTAATTTATACTCTGCCGGAGTAGTCTTCTTGCTAAGACAGAACCAGCTTGCCTTATTATTAGAAAATGTTATTGATTAAGCATAGCAGGGCCAGCCACTGAAAATTAAGTGTTCAGTTTCTAGCTAGGCCAGTCAGATTCATCAACCAAGCAATGACTATTCTCGTAGAATTCTATCAAGTTCTGCCACATGGGATGGTGTATCAGTAGGTTCTTGTTACCTAGACGAAAACAAAATGGTGCACAATAATGTTTTGCGCTCTCACATTATGGTTGAATTATGTAACCGAAACGTTTCTATTGGTTAATTATTCGGGAAGAACCAGGCGCGGATCAAGGAAAAAACTTGACCGGTTTACTAGAATCTGAGCGCCGAATCTATATGGATGTCCGGAGTCATGTCCCCCGCAAACGTTTTTTAGATTTTCACTCTCTAAAATTGATTCTGAGTCATTTCAAATTTGACCGATTTCCGTAAAACGGTGTAAGCCGGTCTGGATCCGCGCCTGAGAACTAAAAACGTATTGTGTTTCGTGCACGGTCAAGGCCAAAAAAGCGAACAGAAACATGGAATAAAGAACTCTGTTGGACTTCATAACCATATATTTCCCTTTATCAACTTTCATGATATCTAAAGAAAAGGAAAAAGGAAAGTAAAGGAAAACGAAAGATAAAACAACAAACCAATTTCTAGTAATTCTACTCACCAATGATACAGAGGCCTTTTTCGTGCTCGAGTGAGCCCGACATTCATTAGATATTCATCAGTCAAAAAACCCAAATGTTCACGGAGCCAATGAAGTGAGGGCTCTGGATAGAGTTCGTCCTTTTTCAGCGACCGCACCAAAGACAAGATGACGTAATTCCATTCACTTCCTGAGAATGAATTATTGAAAGCCACGGTGTTTAACACATCATCATATATATACAGGATCTTATAATTTAAGGCTATGTCACGCTATTTTCGGCAATTCTGTTATACACAAACTAGTCTTGAAACTGCTAAATAATGGTTTCAAACCTAGAAAAACATAAAACAAATACTGGGAAGCCGCAATGAAGTGCGGATGGTAAAAATTGGGCAAGATTGAAACGGATTGCGAAAAGGGTAACTTGAAAAACGACGGCCCGACGTTTTTCAAGTTTAAGCCATTTGTATAAATCAAGTGGTAAATAATGCTTGCGTTTGATATGCAAGTGAGATTCCATCTTTGAATTAATATTACATTCACATGTTGGAGTTAAGAACTAGTGAAAAATAATACAGGGAAGAATATGGCAAAACATTATAGTGTGATAAAGCCCCTTTAAACATGTGTACATGTAGTATTTCTGTATATTTTCACGAGTTTTGCTGTAGTTGGCGAGTCCGCATGGCTTATCAAAATACAAACAACGAATCAAAAAACGAAGAAGCTACAAATAACTGGCTTTTACCTTGACTTTTTGCGATTGTTGTGACGAGAATATCTTTGCACCTGAGCACTCCTTGCAAGACTGCGATTATTTTACTTCGCTGTTCTCTGTAAGGTGACAAGATAACGACATCTGACGCTTGCACGTCGTGTTTGTAGACTAAGTTTCTCGCCACATGTACCTGACAGAGAATAAATATTGGGAGAACAAGAGAGAATTATATAATATAATAATTTCTCTATACATGGGTCTCTTCTAATGATAATTTTTTTAAATCTATTTTTAATTTACAGTTCATAGCTGAGCTATTTTAAGAGCGCTACCTTATTGGTCAGTTCGAGTGACGTGATGTCGGAGCCTTGATCTGAAGGAAATAGAAATAACCTTCACATCATCGCGCGAAACTATTAATAGACTTCTAAGAATTATCATGGGGCACGGGGAATCCATCTCTTAGATGATCTTCTCTTGTCTGTGTATATTAATCGTGTTTTGTCCGTTCCTCCGTAAAACCACAAATTAAAATTTGCAATAAGGTTTATATTCCGTTTGAACAGTTGAACGTTTCTGATTGGCTCTCCGCGCGCTTATTTGTTTAAAATTGCAGGGCAATCACGTGGGCGTGCCTCTAAGGCTTCCTAACCTCGAATAAGATTAATTGGTAATTGGACCTCTTGCAGGGACGGATCCAGGAATTTTTGATAGGGGGGGTCCCAGGGTTTCCGAAAATGTGGAGTAGAAGGAGATTTTGGAAGTAGACGGCAGTACTGAGTTATTACTAAAAGGCGCGGAGGGGGTGTTTGGAGGTCTCTCCAGAAAAAAATTGAGATTTCAGGCTCTGATAAGTACATCAGTTGGTGGATCCTGGAGATAGTTTTGTTATGGATAATGGAGAAAGCAAAAAACCCTCAGGACTGATAGGGGGTCCGGACACCCCGACCCTCCCCCTGGATCCGCCACTGTCTTGTCCCACAATTCTGGGAGAATCGTGCTTGTGATTTACTTACTGATTTTTCCTTGAAATGTAATCCTATCAGTCCAATTACTATTACTTGTCAGCGAGATAGACGCCCTGAGCAGTGGGAGTAGTCGTTGCATTTTTACGAAATCAAACTTACCACTTTTCTGACTTCCTTCTCATTTGATTTTGACTGTTCATTGCTCTGTGCTGTCTTAATGGCGCTACTTTCCTCTTCACCTTCGACATGGCAAAATGCCATGGGAACGTTCGTAGGCCAAAAGGACTGTAACTGAAGGTCTCGAGTCGGCACAGATGGATCTGTTTTCAACTTTCCATCATAAAAGTAATTTGAGGGAAACTTGCAGATATCTTTTTGCTAAGAAAAGAAAAAAAAATTAATTAGAAGTAGCTTCCATCTGAAATCGATAGCCTTTCTTTGTTTTTCTTGTTATACCAAGGAAAAAATCGAGTTTAAAAAAATTAAAAATCAAGGGTTATGTTTGAAAAAGCAGTAAAGCTAATAGGATCAAGGGATTTTTTTCCATCGGGTAACAAGATTGGTTAAAGTAAATTAGAATGAGGATCAAGTGCCACTATAACTGAACCAGCTACCTGTTAATTTAAAGTGCGAGACGCTTAATTGTAGTATGGCAGTCACAGCATTCCTTCGACCATTCATTTCTGCATACTCAGAGCTTCTATCAGAAATGTCCTCACTCACAATGAAATTCTTCCAGAATTCTACGCCCCTCTTATAAACTCAAAATTCAAGAATGTTGAGTCGAAAAAAAATCTTCAAAAGGAAATGTTTTGTTTTGAACTCCGAGTTTACACACAGTTTCGGGGAGGGCTAACACAATCCATTACTCTGCTGCCTAGGGTTTTCTATGCGGCCTGGGAAGGGGGGGGGGGGGGGGGAGGTGCTAGTCTGTGGCGGGAGTTTACATTAATGGTACATTAGTACTGACGCACGTTTCTAAGAAAATTATTTTCCTACCATTCTGTATTGCAACTCCAGCATCTTAGCTCGTTTAGAAAGCCTCTCGAACATAGACACGTTCAAGCCGAGTGTCATTGCCAGGTTGTCCTGAATGATGGGCTGTAACTGTTTGTGATCACCAATCAGAACCACTTGTCGCGCTCTTGAGCACGTGATCGGCACGAGTGATTCAGGTTCCAAGCACATGCCACATTCATCCACAATGCACTGCTGGATGTTGTTGCAGGATTTCATTATCCTGGGACTTCCAGCAACTGCGCATGTGCACAAGATAATCTGAACTCCTGTTGACTGAAGTGCCCAATTTTCGGCCTCACCAATTAACTGAGTATTGAAAATAAATATATGAATACATAGATAAATAAATAAACAAATCAATCAATAGATAAATAAATGAATGCATACATGAATGCATGAATGAATGAACAAAATAAAAAAAATAAAAAAATCAATCAATCAATCAACAGCTAGCTAATTAAATATATAAATGAACAAAAATAAAAAAGTACGTTAAACCTGGTTTTCATATGTCTGGAAAGCATCCAGACATGCCCGACTTATAAAAATACGACGAGGTAGATTTCTCCCATTTTCCCCGACGTCGACGTCGGGAATGTCTGGGACAGTTGGGAAATAACAAAATCCCCGATGGTTTGGTATTTTCCCGACATATAAAAACCAGGCTTTAATCAGGAAAACATTGTTATCTGGAGTCACCCGGTGCGTGGAATGTGTTTTGTCCAGCTCCAGAACAGGACTACGGCGTCTTTGAAGTTTTGACCGTTTTGGCAAAATTTGTCCAACTTGCAACAAGTAGGTCGCACTTGTTTTGCGATTATTGTATCAAACAAATTTCAAGACGTGTCACACGTGCGACGCGGGCCAATCATAGGACTACGGCTTTTTGGACAAGTTGTTCGTCCTGAAGGTCGCACTTGTCTTTGCTCTTATTGACACTTAACCCTTTCACTCCCGGAAGCGCATATAAGCGTGCTTTGTATAGGTAATCGCATGGGCCCGAGTGCAATTAGGGATTAATTTCACGAGTATTTTCAAAGTTTTTACAAAATTGCCCGAGTCGCGCAGCGACG